GGAGGGAAATGCACGGGACTATGGTGGTGGCACAGGGGTGATTTGGTGATGGGAAACCCGCGGGGATTATAATCGATTATAAATTAAATAGAACAAAAGAAATTTTTAAAAAAAGGCGTTCATAAAACCTTGCAGAAAAATATTTATACTTAAAATCTTTTTAAACATTACTTTGCCAAGGCTTAGATTTGACTTGGGGGAAAACAACCTGATGTTTTAGGTTGCAACTCTCAAAAATCACTTTCTCATTTTTCTGTATTCACATGTCAACAGCTGTGAATGTATACACTAAGAAGAATAAGAAGAATGTACAGGAATGTTTATGTTGATCCAAAATGAATAATTCATAGTAACATGAGAATATTAAATGTCCAACATGAGCAGAATCATAATCAAATAATTTTATATATCCTTCAGGTAACCCTACAAACTAGTCAAATTAAGATTGAGAAAAAGCTGGTACGAACAAATGTCTCTAAACAAGGGGGAAAAACTTAAACTCTAGGCTAAAGACATACTAGAGTATACAGCTGGTAAATACATAATAAAATGGTAAAAATTTAGATCAGAGTTGACTTAACCTATTGGAAATTTTATTTCAGTGATCATTCTTTAAAATTATAAAAGAATCATGCTTAGTGGAATTAGCCAGAAAGAAAAGGAAAAATACCTGATAATGCTTAGAGCATTACAGATGTCTCGGGAGGATAGGATTATAATTTTGTAACTGTGTATTATAAAGGACTGGAGGAGGAAATAATAATGAACAACAATATACCAAAGACATTTTATGCAGGTGGGGTAGGGAATGGGATCAAAAAAACAGTGGAGGGAAGGACTGGACTATGGTGATGGCACATGGGTGATTTGGTGATGTGAAGCCCACAGGCGTTACAACTGAGATGGAAAAAGGCACAAAATGATGTAAAAACAAACTATTATATTATTTTTTTAAATGCTAAATCAATTAAAAAAAAAGTGAATGAGGCAAAGATCCTAGTACAGGACTTTGAGACTGGCAGGACTCTAAAATGTATATTTGGAAATATGGATAATGTTTATAATAACAATATAATTCATTATAATAATTACAAGGTAGAATTAAATTATCTAATTAGTCAGACTACATATCATCATAAAAAAGCAAAGTTAAAGTAATGCTGTATATATCAAGAGGAATTATTGTTGGATAAATCAATGTTTTTCTGTAATATCTTAAATATATAAGCCTTTCTTGTTAAAAAAAATTATGTAAGAGATACTATTTCAAAAAGTATATAGGAAAATTTTTATATTCTTTTGAATATCAAAGAATGATTTTATTTTTTTATTATTTATTCACTGTCCAATTACTTTAAAGTCTTTAAAAGTCTTTGGGCTATTCTAGCTAGGTACATTATACTTTAGACATTATGTATCACACCCTTAGTAGACCATAATATAGTGTAAACATTAATTTTATATGTACTAGAAAATAAAAAAATTTATATAATTTGACTCACTGCAGTAGACTGGGCTTGAATCTATATCTTTAAGGCATTCCCGTATTAATAACCAATATTTACAGAAGACAAAACCAAGTTAAACACCCTGTCCAGGTTTATACAGCTAAAAGTTACTAATGAATTCAGACCATCTTCTTCTAGAATTGAAGCCAATATACTTAGTATTTCCCAAATGCCCTTACTTCCTGTTTTGTTTCATATGTGTATCTATTACTTTCCTGGGTCCTTACTTTTATCACAGGGTATTAAATCACAAGTTAATTTCCTATGAGAATGTAATTACTATACAAGACTTGTGTACAAGTCTGTACACAAAGATTCACTACATGAAGATTCAATAAAGGTTTGCAAAACATTTCTAAATAATGATTTTCAGACTTAACAAGCTATAACATCCTTTCCTCAAATAAAATGTTATTTAGAATTTCTGTATTAAGGAAAAAACAATGATACTGTGCTGGTTAAAGCAGTCCAGAGACTCCATTCAGCCCTCCATGTACCTCTCAACAAAAATTTATGCTGTAAATTCACTTACTTCACAGGGGCTCGAGCATAAACCTGAAGCCAGTCAGGAATTTCTGCAGTATGATAGGGATTTGCAGGTACCAGAAGGGACTGATTTCTTTCAGCTTGCTGTGGCTGGTACGTGACAGGAGGAGGTTGATCATATCGAGGTACACTAAGAAGAATGGACATTCATTAAGATAAAGGTTGTAAACCTAAATGAGAAATTACAAATAACTAATAACATTTGCAATGTGCCCGTTGCCCAAACTGAGTTCCTTCCTACCATATAAAAATGAAAGATTCTGTTTTTTTAATAGGAAGTAAATTCACCCTTGCTTACAAATAAGTAGATTGTGAGTGATGGGCAGAAACCTAAGACAAATTTTTACATATTTTTAAGAGATTCCTTCTGATAATATTGTATTTAAGGATAACTTCAAAGGAGTATATAAAAGAGAGCTAAGCTATAACCTTAAAACAGAGGCTTAGAATTAGATCCATAAATTTTAGTAATAACTAGCTGTAAATTTATATTAGTAAGGCTTGCTAGTTTCTCTCAAAATGAGAATGTATGTTTTCTTTTTTTTTTAGTCTGAAAAGGGGGGTTTGGAATATGAAGTATAGAAGTCAATCCTGTGCTTGAAATATCCACATTGTTACTTCTTTCTGGTTGTACTACCTTCAGAGAGCATATGGAGTTAGTTGATTAGACCTTATTTTGAAGCACAGAGACTTAAAAATACCATATTTTAAATTAGTTCTAATAGCTAGATATGTTGAGAGGAGGAAGAGAATATAAGCAAAGTGGGGGAAGGGGCTGTTATATAAGAAAATGCTGAGAAAAGCAATGACCCACTTGAAGGTAAAGCTTAAATGCTGAGGTCAAAATGGTCTCATCTAGGCTTTAAGACAAAACTGGAAAAATTTATTTCCAAACAAACATTTATGCATGTATCAAAAAGGGTTATTGCAAAAATAAATGGGTTTAAAGAAATGTCTGATTACTGTTAACAAAGACCAGTGTGCAAATGGCACTGAATTTTATCTTCAACTCTTCTTTCCAAAGTAGTTTCGTTGATATATAATCTGATAACACAACTGTAGGTAGGGAATAATTCAGTCTTTGAAATCAGACATACCCAGGAGAGTTGACTGAAGTTTAACCAATTATGAGTTGAATACAGACACAAGTGTTTCACTTCTCTAAGCCTCAAACTCCGTTTATACAACTGAAATGAACTCATACCAAAGATGGTGTTTTAGGATTGAATGAGTCGAAAGTCCTGTAGTAGGACTGACATAACATTGACAATCACATAGCTAATTTACATTTCCTATGGAAATTCAAAGAAGGTGTTTGTTTTTGCCTTTTTTATGTCTCATCTTCTGAGAGAAATTAATTTTAGAAACACTGTTTACTATAAAATTCTGTAATACTGAAAGTTTAATTATGATAAATTAAACAAGTGCTGGCAGGGGTGTGGAGAAAAAGGAACTCTATTATACTGCTGCTGGGAATATAGACTGGTCAAGGCCCTATGGAAAGAAGTGTGAATGAAGATTACTTAAAAGACTAAAAACTGATTTAGCAAATGACCCAACAACTGCACACCTAAGCATCTATTCAAGGAGCACAAGAATACTAATTTGAAAAAAACCCTGTACTCCTATATAAAGCAACACTATTTACAATACCAAGGTATGGAAACAACCTAAATGTTCCAGGACAGATGAATGGATCAGGAAGATGTGTTATACCACGAAGGCCCAAAACGATGGCTTGAGTGTGCTCTCCAGACAGGGAGTTAACCCATATGCCACAGCAGACATCTCATGTTTCCCCCTCAGCATTGTGTATTTCAGTAGATCAGCCTGTTCTGTTCCCCAGTCTGTCTCTGGTGAATCCTCTCATACCCTGCACCTCTAGTGGCCTGTACCGTAGTTCTTCTATTCAAAAATAAATAAAATGTTACCCCAAAAATGTGCTATATAGAAATAATGGAACTGGAATACTAGTTAGCAATCAGAAAAGATAAACTCATGCCATTTGCCACAATATGGGCAGAAATGGAAGGGATTTTTCTAAGGAACATGAGCCAGAAGACAGATAAATACCAAATGATTTAACTTATATGTGGAATCTAGAGAAACTAAACTAAGGATTAGAAAAGACAAACTGCAAGACTGACCTTTGAAGGCTGGTGATGGATCTGAGATACAGAAGAGGGAGGGAAAAGTGAAAAAGAGAAGATGAGCAGAATAGTGGGAGAAGCGTGTAGTAAAGGACTATGGGTTCTTGGGTGGTAGGAAAACTATGGTGATGAAATCTGAGGGAAGAAATCCTATGTTATGAAAAAATAAACAAGGATTTTAAAAACAAAAATTAGGCCCTCCTTGGTGGCACAGGGGGTTAAAGTGCAGCACTGCAAGTGAGCCGCAGCTGCTTCAGTGTGAGCTCAATCCCTAGCCCCAGAGGTGATCTACGTGGCATGGCAGACCTCTCCTGGCCCGCCTGCTGCTCCCCTCAGCAGCTGACTTCTGTTCTGCTCTCTACTCTGTCTCTGGTGAATGTTCTCACTGCCTCTGCACCTCTGTTCTGTATGCACAAATAAATCTTTAAAAAAAAAAAATTAAAAGTATGCTCAATATATTCTTCAAAGCCGGTTGTCTCTGTCACCTGGTGACAGCAAACTATACTTGCTTTTAATTCTTATCCCATTTTCCATTGTTAAGTCATTCAACAAACATCTATCATACTCCCAGTGTGTAATTATCTGTATATTAGGTACTGAGGACATAGTGGGAATAAACAAGGCCTGGCCTTTCTTTAGGTATGGGGCTCCAAACTAATCCCAGGTTACAGGGCTACAAACAGAGGCCAGGGATGGCAACATTTTATCTAGAGGCTGTAGCCAAATACAGGCAGAGTGGCTCTGATTTTGGTTTGGGTCGCTTGAAGGATAACAATCTCAGATGTTATAAACACTGACACTGGTAAGAGTAAATGGATCATTGAGAAAAAAAAATTTTCTTTTTGAGGTAAATAAATACAAGAAAAAACTATTTTTCACGGTAACAAATCCAAATATGTAAAATGATTAAAACAAGACCATATGATAAAGCTTAAGTTTATAGTGATAATACTAAAGTGTATTGTTATATAGTTACAGCATACAAAGTATATACTTAGGTCATACTAAGAAATTAGGTCATATCTACAATATTCAGATAACATTTTACCCATTTTAATGGAATGACTCAGTTCTTCAAATAGTTATATGAAATAGCTAACCTCCTTTACTAAACAAATACTAGCTTTTATGTACTTTGAAATCTAGCCTGTATTTTATACTACATCTCAATTTGGATTAATCACATTTCAAATGTTAATAGTCACAAGTGGTATTTGGATACAGTAGTATTCATAAGGTTAGACGTCTAGCCACAAATGAAGCCTACTGATAATCTGAAAATCAATAAAATAGCTCAAAGAATCACCAGTTTTATTATACAGATCTTCTATGTTTTGTATAATTCCAACTTTCACTTGCCTGGATAGTAAGAATAGAACATAAAATCATGTCTGAAAAAGAATAAAGATTCAAGATCTTGCAATTTAAAAGTATTTCAACATATTAGAAGATAGGTTTGTGTTATTTATTAGAATTTAAATGTAAAGCAATAGGCTTTTTATTTATCTCAATTTCTGTTTTGCTACTTACAAGAAAACATTCTGGTATTTTAAATGTCACTAGAATAAAGACACTGATTTTAAGGTTAAAAAGTTGGTTTTTTTTGAATGGAGCTTCCATATGATCCACTCCTAGGTATCTACACAAAGGTCACAAAAACATTAATTAGGGGATACCTGCATTCCTGTGTTTATAGCACTATTTATGATAGTAAATAGTAAGCTATATAAATATATAAGCTATATATTTACCTAAAAATAAATGACTGGATCAATAAAATGTGATATATGTACACAGTGGAATATTACTCAGAGATCAAAAATGATAAACCCGTACCATTCACAGTAACATGTATGAAGCTAGAAAGGATCATGCTCAGTGAAATAAGTCAGAAAGAAAAAGAAAAATATAAGGTGGTTTTCACATACAAGAGGAAAATAGAGGAAGCAAATAAGGGATCAGGGAAAAAAGTAATTATGATAAAGTAAAAACGAGAATCAATAGGCAACTATAAACCAGAGACACTCGTCAGGGCAGAAGGAGGTAACAGGATCAAAACAGGGGTGTGAAGAACACAAGGGACTATGGTGATGGTGCATGGGTGAATTGGTGGGAGGAATTTCACAGGGATTATACCCAAGATGATATAGCATACATTGTATAAAAGTGAAGAATAGGCCCTCCCTGGTGGCGCAGCAGGTTAAAGCACAGCACTGAGAATCTGAAGCCACTTCCGCATGAGTTCGATTCCCGCCTGCCGCCTGCCCTGGAGGAGACCACATGGCGAGCCAGACCTCTCCTGACCCGCCCACTGCTCCCCTCAGCAGTGTACTTCGTCGATCTGCCTGTTCTGCTCCCCACTCTGTCTCTGGTGAAGCCTCTCACCGCCCCTGCACCTCTGTTCTGTATGCACAAATAAATCTTTAAAAAAAAAAAAGTGAAGAATAACATTTTAATGAAAGGGTTTTTTATTATAAAAATCACGTTATTAAAGTTTAAAGGAACATATCATAAACTCTGAAGATTAAAGCTTTCAAATCCGTACTTCAAGATGCTTTTTTCTTTTTGATGAAAGTAAGAATTTAAATTCTAACACTCTATAATGTTAAAACAAAAAGTTAAAATAAAATTAATACTTTACCTAGGAGCACAGGGATGCCTATATTGAGCCTTCTTATTTGTGTGATCTACATAATAGGTTCCAAATTCTGATGATTCAACTCGCTCCCATCCTGGAGGAAGTCCTTCACGCTCAAGAGGATGGCTCCAATGAGTTGTATTTGTGTTATGATCTATATAATATTTTCTTCCTCTCATTGTCCAGTCCACAGACCAACCAGGAGGAAGGGGTAAATCTTCAGAACCATGATTAGTTAAATTTCCTAAAGATGTAGCAGCAATTCTCCCAATACCTGAGCAAAAAGAGAAGAAGCAAAAGAAGTAAAATTAGTCAAAGCTAAAATTATAACATCAGAAAAAATTACAAAATTACCTACACTGAATATATCTGCTAATATTCTTGATTACATTACTATAAGTAAATCTTTTCAGAAAGCCAGACAGCACTCCCATACAAATTTTTAACTACTAGTGAAACTATTTAAAGATGTGTGTGTGTGTCTGTATCTAGAGAGAGAGGTAGGGCCCTCCCTGGTGGCGCAACTAGTTGGAGTGCAGCACTGCAAGCTGGCCACAGCTGCCTCCAAGCAAGTTAGATCCCCTGCCCTGGAGCTAACTCACATGGCACAGCAGACCTCTCCTGACCCGCCCATTACTCCCCTCAGCAGAGTACTCCATCAGTCTGCCTGTTCTGCTCCCCACTCTGACCATTGTGAATATTCTCATGCCCCTGTACCTCTGGCCTGTACCCCAGTTCTGTATGCATAAATAAATAAATCTTTAAAAAACAAAAAACTTTGTTTAAAAAATAGAGAGCTAGAGGAAAATGGAGAAAATTTTGCTTCATTTGAGATGTTAGTTATGATAATTCAACTAAAACAGTGAAAATGAATGTAAATTTATTATAATTTTGCAATTCTTCTAATAATCTTGCTATATCCTAGAGCTATTAAATAAGTTTATCAAGGTAGCAGGTACAAAGTCAATATACAAAAGTCAATTAGCTATATAGTAACAACAATTGGGAAAAAATTACACCATATTTAATAGTTTGAAAAATCAAATACTTATGATAAATCTAATGAAATATGTATACAGTCTAGATGCTGAAAACTAAAACACTATAAAAAATATGAAAAAAGGCCTACCATGTTAATAGACTAGAAGACTCAATATAGTTATCAATTCTTCCTGAAATGACCTTTAGGTTTAAAGTAATTTCAGTCAATATTCCAGTAGAAATTTTTATAGGCATAGACAAATGTGTATGAAAAAAGGTCAAAGAACTAATACTGTTTTTAAAAGAGAGAATAAATCTGAAGGACTCATGCTACCTGATCTTAAGACATACTTAAGGGTATAGCAATCAGGACAATACGGTGTTGTCAAAAGGACGAGCATATCAATAAAATATAACAGAGACCCCAGAAATATACCACTTATTAATGGCCAACTGATTTTTCATAAAGGCAAAAAAGGTAGATCACTGTATAAGGACAATTTTTTCAACAAATGTTATTGGAACACCTAGACATCCAGACGCAAAAAATTAATCACAACTTATACCTCCTACCTTATTAAAAAAATTATATCAGGATGGATCATGTATCTAGGCACAAAATAAAAAAGTTTTAAAAGAAAAATATTTTCACAACTTTGCATTAAGCAAAAAGCTCTTAAAGCATGATGCTGAAAGTACAACCCACAAAGGAAAATATTGATAAAATGACTTCATTCAAATTTCAAATGTTTTCTATGTGAAAGACACTATTAAGAGAAAGTAAGTTGAATTACAGACAAGGAGAAAATGTTCACAAATCACACATTAGGCAAAGGACTTTAATCCAAAACATATAAAGAACTCTCAAAATTCAACACTAAAAATCTCAATTAAAAGAAATAGGCAAAAGATTTAAAACAGGCATTTCATCAAAGACAATAGAGATAGTAACTGAGGACATAAAAAATACTATCCTATCAGTCATCAAGGAAATACAAACTAAAACCACAATGAGATAACACCACACATCTAAGAGGATGGCCAAAAAAAGGGGGGATATCTCAACATTGCTGATCAGAATGCAAAATACTAGTCATTCTGAAAAACATCAGTAGTAGTATAAAGTTAAACATAAGCTTTGCATGTGTCACAGCAATTCTAATCCTAAATATTTAACCTACAGAAATGAAAATTTACCTTTTAAACTTGTACATGGATGTTTAACACTGACTATAGTCATAAATACCCAAAACTGAAAACCACCCAAATCCTTTAAGAGAAAGGATACGCTAGTACAATCTGGAGTTTGAGGGAACTAATAACTGATAAACTACAACAACATGGATGAATCTCAAAGGCATGCTGAGTGAAAGAAGTCATTTTCAAATGGTTATAAGTCCCAAAGGAACAAAGAAGCAAACTGAGGATGATGGGAAATATTCTATGAATTGACCATACTGTTCAATTGTCTCAATGATTATTCTTACTACCTATAACAGTCTACCTCTCTCCAGATCCCAATTCCCCATTCTTCCCACCCCTCGTCACTTTAACCTTCAAATTTATATAATTGTGTTTGCTTGCTGTCTTTTTTAATCTCACAAGAATAGAAGATACCTAGACAAGGAATTATTATTTATTCACAAACATCTAGATAGTGTCTATAGCAATAGCTGATAGTATACAATAAATAAGCTACAAAATAAAGGCAGACTGGTATCTGTTGAGGGAAGATGCCTAGAACCCAGAAATAGATTCATCCAATATGCCCAACAGATTTTTGACAAAAAGAAAAAGTAAATCAGAGAGGGGTAATAGTCTTTTCCATAAATGGCAATGATGAGCTAGACATCCACAGGCCAAAAAAAGGAACTCCAATCTAAATGTCAAATCCAAGAATTAACTCAACTGGGTCACAATCTAAACTATAACACTACAAAACTGTTAGAAAAAATTATGGAGGAGAAAATCTTCAGGATTAGGATTAGAGCAACATAGCTCAATCTTCACACCAAAAGCCTAATCTATAAAAGGGTAATTTACAAACTAGATCTCACTCAAAATGAAAGTTTTGCTCTATATAAATCCACATGCAAGGGTTGAAGAGATAAAGTATAGATTGGAAGAAAATATTTGCAAACTACATATCTCACAAAGAATTGATATCTACAATATAAAAAGAACACTCAAAGCAATAAAACAATCCAATTAAAAAATTAGTAAAAGGTGGGGCTCTCCCTGGTGGCACAGCAGATTAAAGCACCACATTATGAAGCTCTCCAAAGCCACTGCAGCATGAATTTGATACCTGGCCAGGGATCTGACCCACATGGTATAGCAGACCTCTCCTGTCTTGCCTGCTGCTCCCCTCAGCAGTGTACTTTGTCAGTCTGCTTGTTCTGCTCCCCACTCTGTCTCTGGTGAATCCTCTCACCCACCACAACTCTGGCCTGTACCCCAGTTCTGTAAGTATAAATAAGTAAATCTTAAAAAAAAAATTAGTAAAAGGCATTTACCAAAGGATATACAGATGGTAAAAAGCATATGAAAAGATATCTAACATCATGAGCCATCATGAAAAAGCAAACTAAAAACACAATGAAATACTATCTCACACATACCAAAATGGTTAGAATAAAAAATAGTGATAATACAAATGCTAGTGAGGATGCAAAGAAGTTGCAAAAGTCATATATTGCTCTTAAGAAATTAAATGGAACTACCACTTGAGAAAACATGTTAGCAATTTCTTGTAAAACTAAACAGACAGTTATCATAAGACCCAGAAACCTGACTAGCATTTGTCTCAGATGAAAACATACATTCCCACAAAAACCTATATACAAATGTTCATAAAAGATTTCCTCTTAACAGTCCAAAACTGAAGTAGACTGGATGGTCTTTCAACAGATAAATGAGTTAAACATACTATGGCGTACTGTGGGATACTACTTAGCAATAAAAAAACAGGAACTACTGATACATAAAACAATTTGTATGACTCTCTAGAGAATTATGTTGTGTGGGAAAAAAATCTATCTCAAAAGGTTACATAATGATTCCATTTAAATAGTATTTTTGAAAATGACAAAATTTTTTCTTCAGATTTTAATAGTTTTTGATTATTCACAGGTCTGTATAATTGCAGAGGTACATTTTGTACCTCTATGCTTCACTAACTTGACACATTATCATATCCCAGTCCTTCTCCTAACCCCTTCTTCTACCTTTCTATTCTTTCTGATAACCAATATATTTCTCCAGAGCCTAAGAATTACTGTTGTTGTGCTTTGCCAGTTAGTGTACTGTACCAGTTTGTGTCCTGTGCTTATTTATATTCCACAAGTACAGTCATCCAGACTGTCCTTCACTTTGTGACTTTTTTCCTTTAGCATAATCAGCTTAAGAGCCATACATTTTTGTCCCAAAAGGTACTGTTTTGCTTTTTTAAAATAAATGAATAGTATTCCACTGAGAAGAAAAAATGACAAGAATTTTAGAAATGGAGAACAGATAAGTAGTTATTTGCTAGGGTTGGCAAGAGAGGTGGGTATGGCAATTCAAGGACAAACTAAAAGCGTGCAGAGATGGAACTCTTCAGGGCTTAAGCCAGTGGTGCACACACAACCTACCTGTGAATACACACACACACACACACCAGTTCAAGTAAAAGTAAGCAAATTTAAACTGGTGGGTAAATTGTATCAATGTCAAATCCTAGTTATAGTACATACGATACCTTTACGAAGCATTACCAAAGGGGGAAACTGGATGAAGTAAATAATCTGCATTAGTTCTTAAAACTGTATGTGATCTTTTGTCTTTTTCTTCTGGAATTTCATGGAGAAATCATACAATGTGCAAATATGAAGGATGATGTAATAAGTAATTTTAAAAAACCATATGAGTCTACAATTATCTCAATAACAACTTCAATAAAGGGAGAGATGGATGAGCCTCTGATAAAATATACGTATGTGTCAAAACATTTAAGAAAGAATAAGAATAGTGAAGAAAGTGAAGATAGTAAACCACTATGAAGAACTACCAAGAAAGTACCCTACAATTTCTCCTTTTCCCTCTACAATCCCCTGCCCTCTCCAGTAACCACAAAGTCAATTTCAAATACACGCAACAAAATGAATGGAAATAATTTTAAAGGATTCAAGCAAGTATGTCTGATAATACAAGTAAAGGAAATCCACTGATAAATGACGAGTCTCCCTGTAAGAAAGCCAAAATACTACTACCAAAACAAGTTATCTTAAAATTTAATACAATAAAATTTTCCTA